ACAACGTGAGTGCAGATAAGTCTTTGGAGTAAGTATTTTCAATCAAAAGATGCAATCATGTCTCTTGTTTCTTTCTTTTGTATTGCAGAATTTGCTCCAGAATCGATGGGCCGTTATGTACCTCCTCATGTCACTTAGCAATGACAAAAAATCGGCAAGAAGTAGGGTGGGTTTGTTTTTTCAGTTGTCTTGTGATTTCTCTTGGATGGAGTTATTTTCCAATATTCAGGATTTTAAGCCAAACTGATCATTGTCTTCTTGCATCTCGTCAGCCGTGACCAAGAACAGGTTCACCTGACCATTGCGTTCTGTTGGTACCTGTTACATAATACCCTTGTGCAGTTTGTAGCTCTCTGTCATTGTCCTCACATTGTCCAAGTTAAGGTCTCTACTGCCAGCAAACAAGTCCAGCCCAGACCAAGGTATTCACTGAAGAAATCTTGACCAGAGTCTTTTTGTGTTCCCCATTCTGAAATCACCTAACTCTTGTCAGGTGGCTGAAGGGGCAGCCATATTTGGTGGAGGGTTGCCCCGCATGGCGACCTCCACGCCGTTTGAGTCAAGACCGATGAGTCGTCAGCCAACGCCCCCTGACCACACCCTCAGCATGATGCAAGAGCGATCACACAGCAGTGGAATAGGTAAGCACAATAGGATAATTCTGTCCCGGAGTCTGCTTTTCCAATGATTGGTTTTAACCCCTTCTCACCGGGAAGCGGTAAGAGCCGCTGTAAAAATTGAGATCCCTCAGCTTGCTTTTCAGCTATTATTCTCGGCCCACGCTTGAGCGAACACAGTGAAAGAAGGCAGACCCTGGCTCTTGTATATATGGTGATTGGCCTTTGTGTATTGCCTAGAAATGAAAAGGCCGAATTTGCATCATAATCACCAGTAGCACAGCACACAAGGCCACAAACTGAGAATTTGCAGTTTGGCAGGTGGCCCTCGTGGTCAAGCGAGGCTTGAATTCTTCGAGTCGGCTTTCAGAAAAAAGTCCTGGCGTCAAGGGGTTAAATGAAAATTAATAAACATGTAGTCCCTCAATGCACAAAATGATTTCTATAAATTTTAGCTCCCTTTCTACAGTAGTCTCTAGGTTTTGATACTTGAAGAAAAAATTTTTTGGAGTTGCTGACTGAAAAAGTTCAACTTTCTGGCTGTAGGTGACACGCACCTTTATTAAGCCCAGCACTGTAGTAAAGTTATTGTGTGTCGTCAACTACAAGTTATTATGTCAATGGCATGAAAAATACAGACTCTTTGAAGAGTCAATCTTTATTGTTTATATCTGGTTATTGTTCTGACGCTTTGTTTTATTTTTCACTGACAGGAAGTACCCTGAGCAGTATATCTGGTCATGGGCAGACTGTGTCGTTGACAAGGTAAATGGACTTTCATTTTGAATAAAAAAGGCATTTGACATAATACCGAGGCTTTCAGAAATGTCTACTTTGTTTACGGCTCACATCCACAGTAACTTCAATACTCCCAGAGACATGTACACCCCAGCTGGTGACACACAGCCAGTCAGCGCACGCCTCGCCCGCATGCTGATTGGCGACAGCGCCAAGCATCAGACCTACACGGTCCCACCAGCTCACCGTCAGGCCAGGATGACCCCTGCAGTGACCTTTGCACTAAGTGCCAGAGATGCAACAGATAACAGTAAGAAACTTGCCTGGTATTTGTGTAACCAACCCCCCCGTTTCCATGATAATGTGTTCAAGTTTGCCAATGTCCATTTCTCAAAGGCACCTGTTGCCATGATAATGTGCTCAGTTTTGTCAATGTCTATTTCTCAAAGGCACCTGTTTCCATGACAATGTGTTCAGTTTTGCCAATGTCCATTTTCAAAAGATACGTGTCTTCAGCGAATAAAATGAAAGTCTGCTCATCACAGTTACTTGTATTTTGATGTTTACTGAAAGAAACCTTGGTCTTTCCTGGTCTTTTGCTGTGTTGAATACTATAAGCGCAGCTATCAGTCCTTTACAAATTTACAAATAGAGTTCCGCTTAATTAATATCGCAAGCTTGCAATTTTTAGTTAAATGCTCAGTTTGTTGAAGATATATTTGTCAGTGAGTCAGCCCATACATTCAGTTATAATTACTGAAGTCAGGGAGTAAAAAATAAGGGAAAATATTTATGTAATCACAAAAAGTTTAAATTAGTTTGCATTGGCTAGGGGCATTCTTTAGTGGTTTTTTTGGTCTTGTTTCATACTGATCTACAGTTTTCATTAGTTTTGATTGAAGAGTAGATCAGATATGGCATCTAGTCTGTCATGTCTTTGTATTTGTCTTTCCATAGCTGCCTCCGAGGTCCCCGAAGCCTCCCTGGTGAGGGATCTGATCTATGTCTTTCAAGGGGTAGATGGTCAGTACATTCGATACCATCCAGCAGAAGATGCATTCTGTGTTGACCACCAGGTCAGTGACCATGACTGGCTAAATAGCACCTTGATAGATGGTATAAATCCTTGACGTATCTGTTAGTTGCCGTCCATGTCTGTGAAGCTGTAAAGATTTTAAGCCTCAATTTTGGATTTTCGCTCTGCCCAACATGTATATTGTATACTCAGTACTCGGGTGGGACTTGAACCCATGACTTCCTGCATGCAAGTGCAGACATATTAACCACTCGACCACCAAGCTTGCCAGTTTCAGCTGGCTGGTTTGAGTCAGATGTAGCAGCAGGTACCACGAACAGCTATTTCAAAGGATGGATTTTAGCAGGGCAAAAATCCAAAATTGATTAACATCTCCCCGGTGCAAATCCATCCTTGGAAATAGATTTTAAACCTCTCAGTTGGGAATAAGTTGAGAGAACAAGTTCCAGATTGTTAGAGAACAGGTAATTAGGTATTCTGAAAACCAAGGCACTAACATTTAACACTACAGTGCCTTCTCTTTTCAGTATTTGTGCATTTATACATAACATAATTTACACAGTGCAGTTGGATAAGCCCTAGCATTCTTTGGTAAACTCTTTGGTCAACTGCAGAGTTGTGAGCAGTTACAAGAGATTGTAATCAACTGTTTTTCCCCTCAAAAAGCAAATAACCTGCTCTGTTTTGTTGCCCTGTTATGAAGGCTGGTGTCTCCAAGCCAACCAGGGATCTGGTCCACAAACTGGCCGAGCTAGGCTGGCTGTTCCTGAGGGTGCGGAAGTACATCGACTCACGCAGCCGAGACAACGCCATGGGCATTGTGGGACAGGTAAAGAGCAACTGCCTGGCCACAGTCTAAATAGAAATTATTTCTGTGCCAGATTTGACAAAATTGAACTTCATCTCGGTAATATACTCCTCTGTTAATCTGATTTCCACAGAGTTTCTGTGCAGCCTTGCAGCAGGAGTTGACCGAGTACTATCGCTTGTTGGCAGTACTGGAGGCTCAGGTAAAATATCATTTTCTCTTCCATGTGTCCTAATTTCTTATCCGTTTGTTTCCTAATTATGCATGGAAGCCTAACATTTGCTGCCATTTGCTCTCAGAAAGTTAAAGCCAACCACTCTACTGAACATAAGATGCCTTAAAACTCCATATCTTTTACTGGGCAGCAGTGATCTTGTCCAGAAATTGTCAACTGTCAAATCGCTTAAACATTTTGCTTTCAGCAACAACAGCAAGAGCAGGATCCCGGGCTCAGTGATCTGAACACCGACCTGACCTTGATTAGGTTAAAGGTCTGGACCTATGACCCCATCCACAGGATGAAGTATCTTGCCATTCTTGTTGACGGCTGCAAAGGTGAAATGAATATCTGATTTCATATAGTCCAGTTTTTATTTGGACATTTGGCTACTGCACACACTTGCTTCAGACATTTGTGCATTTTCAGTTAAGTTTAGACCTGTTACGGCTCCTTTTTTCTCAGAATAAGGCAAGAGGTTAACATCTGTTTATTTGCCTCCATTATGACAGTAAACATTCCAAACTGATAATGGAGTTTGAGATAGAGAAAAAAAAATTTAACAACAGCCCCACACAAGCTTTTGCCTTTTCCACTTCTCACGAGTTCTCTTCTCATCATTGTAGATAAGAAAGGCGGGGCTCTGGCTTCGGCTGTTCACTCCTACACACTCCACGGCGACCCGTCAGTCAAGTGTGTCATGAAGCACATCTTGAAGCTGGTAGCCTTCCCGATCAAGACCATGCTGGACCGCTGGATTGAGGACGGGGACTTGGATGACAAGTTTCATGAGGTAAATGTCCTGTACCAAGGTTGTTCTCCATTTTTCTACGATTGTAAGACTGATTGCTCCAAATGTATGAAATGGTTACTTGTAAAAGATTTGTAATGATATGTTTGAAATCTCGGTTTAGTGTTTGAACATTTTCTGTATTTTAACTTAATATTTCCATATTTCTCTTATTTTCTTAGTTCTTTGTTGCCTCGGACCCCCTGGTAAAAGAAGACCGACTTTGGCATGACAAGTACTCCCTCCGGAAATCCATGATCCCCTCCTTCATAACCATGGAACAGGCCAGAAAAGTAAATACAATGGAAGACTATCATGCCTCCCAAAATAGTAAACAAACAAAAGCTGGTGTTCTCGTTCCACCAAATTGCATTTCAAAAGAGGAGTATGGACTTGTCATATTTTTGATTATTCTCTCAACATTTTCCTTTTTTTTCCTGATTTGACAGATTCTTCTGATTGGCAAGTCCATCAACTTCCTTCGTCAGGTTTGCCTTGACAACAGTCCCATCAAGGGCAGAGGAGACAGTGATTCAGTGACAAAGAATAAATACCAAGACAGTGAGTTGAAGTCAAATTACTCCAAACAGCTCCTTGAGACATTTCTTGTTAAAAATTTGGAGCATTTGAGAAAGAATGTCATATTTCTAGACCATTGAAATGCCACGCTTTATTGAGTCAAAGAAAGTTAATCATTAAGTATTAAGAAACAAAATACTTGTTAAAATACTTACAAAAGAAGGAATAGTCATAATGCTGATTTGCAGAACCAAGGAATATCCAAACAATAATAGAACCCTTTCAGAACTTCTATTCCTTGATCAAGAACAATTAAAGTGGATACCATTCACGGAACATCTCTTTTGACTATTTTGTCTGATATATCCTCCTCAGCTGAGATGCTCTTGGAGCAAGATCTAGACGCCTCCTTCCAGCAGGTGATTGACTCCGCTTACCGCGATACCAGTAAGAGACTGCTCTACGTACTCTACACCAATTTCAAGTTCCTCGATCACCTCAAGGTATGTCCCCTCTTGATGTTCATTGTATTTTGCTCATTTCCTTTTCCATTTCTGTACCTGTTTTGTCATTTTGGGATGTTGAGTTTGATTCCAGCAGCCCTGTGTAGTGATGATGTTCACAGTGTTTATCGCAGTGCATTGTTGGGGTAGAATAGGGGTCATTGGTGTATACGCTGCTATCATAAGCATATGAGTGTCATTACTTGTACCTGGGTAATTCTAGAAAGTAGGGGCCCAAAATGTGACATTTTTGTGCCCCTGTTACCTCTAACCTTTGTTATTTGACAAGGAAATATCACCAGAATTGATCTCAAACTATCATTGTTTGTTTGGCAGGTAATTTACTTTAATCTATTACTCTTGAAAACAGGAAAATGTGTTCTGAACTTACAAAATCATATGTCAGATGTGACAGGGACACGAAAGAAATGGACCCCTAATTTCCGGAATTTCCCACCTTCATTTTGGAATAGCAGTTGTTTTGTGTAACGGTCAGTTCTGAATATTTCAGGGAAATTATCCTCCACTGGAATGGTAAGATTGTGCCATTCACTTTTTTTGTGATTAAATGTAACTTGTACGTGCGCTGTTTCTCCTACAACGGCCCCCATTCTTTCCCACCATGCACTGCAGTAAACACGGTGAGACGTCATCGGTACATTGGGCTATTATGTTTGATTATCTGGTCTGATTTTGTCGTTTGGATGTCACCAGGCAATGAGGAGATACTTACTGCTCGGTCAGGGAGACTTCATCCAGCATCTCATGGATCTGCTGGAGTAAGTGGACTTCACCAAAAGTGTAAAAAAAAATTGGTTTTCCTTCAGTTGGGACTATTCTCATTGTAGCTGCAGAATATTCCATGGACTTTTCATAGAGGAACCTAACAATGTTTGGGAATTTCTGTAAGTGGGCGTTGAAACTCTTACAAAGTTTGAAATGGTGTCCTATTTTTCAGGAGTGACTTGTCTAAACAGGCGAACCAACTCTACCTACACAATCTGACAGGTATGTTAGAGACTGCTGTTCGAGCTACCAACGCACAGTATGATGATGCTGAGATTCTCAACAGGGTGGATGTGCGGCTTCTGGAGGTAATTTGTTGGAGCACAGGCATTGGAAATTTCAGACTTTTGTTTGAAATCAGACCATCGGAATCTGGAAACTTTGTATGGGAGGATATTGTGACTGTCGAAAGTAATACAGAGGATATTTTTGCTAAACTTTATTCATCTGTCACACCGCCACCCACAACTGGCCAAACTATTCAGTTGAAAGAATGCAAACTTGTGAACTTTGACTTCTGACCTTTGCTCTAGTTGTCCCATGGGGATACTGGCTGGGACGTGTTCAGCCTGGACTACCACGTAGACGGTCCCATCAGCACCGTCTTCACGCCGCAGTGCAAGATCCTGTACCTGCGTGTCTTCAACTTCCTCTGGCGGGCCAAGCGCATGGAGTACGTACTGGCCCGGGTCTGGCGCGACACAACGGGCAGCACCCGCAAGCTGGAGGCCATCACGGGTGAGCCACGTGGATAGGGTCTGTGCACGGGGACGTTGAGAGCGCTGTTGGCCCAGTCACCGGGTCCAAGTCAGGGCACTTGCTAAATGCAGGGAAGCCGATCAAAACAGTCACCGTGCCCGGTTTGTACAAAGTACACTGACAAACTTGCAATTGCCACAAAGTTACTTATTCACAGAAGCCAAATGAGGGCCCTTCACTAGGTCATCAAAATTTAGACAAGCAATTAAATCAAAAACTAAAATGTAGTCAGATTGCCAGTCGGCAAGACTGAGGTATCCTGAAATATTGGCTGAGGTTCTGTGAGTTTGTGTGTTGGCAGATGACTGCATAACTGTTTGCCCGTGTTGTTGACATTCCCCACAGAGCTGGCGCCCATTTTCCATCAGTGTCACATCTTGACGGCAGAGATGGTCCACTTTGTCAACCAGATGCAGTACTACATCAACTTTGAGGTTCAAAAACATCAGTCCTCTTTTGTTTCTCATTCATTGTGCTGTTATCCACTCCAGAAAACTTTGATTTCAACAAGACATGGACCCAAGACATCTGGGTACTGTTGGAACTGTCCAGCTTTGCACTGGTTTATTGGCATTCTGTAAACTAAATGAACTTCCTCTGTTGAGAATTCCATCATTTTTGTTTCTGACAAATATCAACGTTTGATGCCAGATGATCTTTCTGCAAAACAGAACCTATCAGAACCTATTGGGTTGCAGAAGACCTGTGTCATGCTGCTATCATGCTTTTCTGTTGGTCTACTATAGGTGATGGCCTGCTCTTGGGATGAACTCTGGAAGAAAGTGACGGAGGCGGAGGACATGGACCACATCATTGCCGCCCACGAAGTCTTCCTGGATGCCATCATCAAAGGCTCCCTGCTCGATGAGGAGTCGCAGGTAACGTTGCTAGAAGTTTCAGTTATGTTCACTCTCTAGGCCAAGTCTGAGCTGTCATTTTTGTTCAGGACTACGGATAATTGAAGTGGTGTTCTAATGGCAGAAGCTGAAAACCACTGCCTCTCAAGAAAACAGTTTGGATTGGTATTTTTCTGAGTTGGTTCCAATTCTTTGAAGCCACTCCTTTAAAAATAGAAATACATCTGAGAGTTCAAACCTAACCTCAAAAGCCCTGGCTATAGCATAAATTTGATTCTGGATTCCAAAATTAGTTCCATGGTTCATAACTGTCTCAGACATCTGGTGCTTCATTTGGTGAAAGTTCCCCCTCCCCACCCTCAACAAAAAAAAATTCATGAAGATTACAATCTGTGTGCCTCTGACAGCCCTTACTGACCCAGCTGCGAGCAATCTTTGACCTGATCATCCAGTACCAGGAAGTGCAGGAATCCCTCTACAATGATAGCTGTGAGGAACTCAGGCAGAGAGGGGCCAACAAGCAGGCCATCCAAGAAAGGACAGAACAGGTGGGTCATCAGCCCTAATCCTTAACTGGCTGTTAACCCTGATGCTTAGGACGATTTTGCTGAAATGAGGACGTTACTGCCCATTGGGCCTCTTGCACTGTGAAATTTACAGTAAGAGTTGACCCATTGCTTCCTTCAATCGTGGAGAATTTGAAAAGGTTCTAGAACGTCCTTGGCATGAATTCCGGGTTCCAGGGGGGAACTCAAGAGATATTCCTGAAAGGCCCATGGAGTGAGATAAGTGGCTACCCTCCCGTTAGCCTGAGTGGGGATTGAACAGTGGTCTTGCCATGAACATTCATCATGGGTAAGCATCTTGCAGAAAGTGCCAGGTCCGGCTGGTTTGCTACGTTCAATGAGGTCAGCCAGATGGACCATTTACCCTTTAATCTCTTACCGTCTTGCCCTTCATGTATTCCAATATTTTGTGATGCTTGTCTGGTGTCCTGTGTTGTCGGAAGGGTGAGTGGGGACTGACAGCACAGGCTGAGCAGGACCAGAAGAGACGCCGGGCCAAATTCCTTCGGGAGTTCATTCCAACCAGCCGGGCCCAGCTGAAGGTCCTAAGGAAATCTTTTCAGGTACAGCAGATATCTGTATTTGTGTTCACTGTTTTAAAGATCCTTTGTACATATTCAGCAACACTGTTTGTGTACATAAATTCTCATCCCCCAAGCAAAAGCCATTCGGTGTAATAATTGCAGATTTTATGCTTGACAGGATATGGTTCAACGCTTCCTGGTGATGCTGACTGGTCACTCGGACGACAGCCTGCGACTCCTGGCGGTCAGGCTGGACTTCAACGAAGTTTACAAAGCTAAGGAGCCCATGCTGCGAAGTCCCATGGCCTACAACCGCACCAAGAAGGTCTTCTGAGTTCTCAGCTGTGGTGTCAGGTAGTTAAGACAAACGGTTGTGATAGGTCTGCGCGAGTGGTGGTCTTGCAGGCAACTTGGCCAAAAGCAGTTTAATCAATCAAATAGACTTTGAGTGCTAGCAATTTTTCTGAAAGGCGTGCAAATTAGATGATTAATTTTAAACATTAACAAACTCAGAGCCTTTAATAACAAAATGTCTGGTGAAAAAAAGAGCACCATGTATGAACAAAAGACAATTTAAGATATTGTATGCGCATGTTTTGTATCTCACATAGGAAACTTGCCTGTCTATTAAGCATAACACGAAAGTTTAGTTAGAATTATACCCAAAATGCAGTTTATTATGTTCATAACAATTTGTTTACATCTTTTGCAGAGTTAAAGCATATCCTTGGTACAAAAAATATCATTCAGATTAACCTCTTTGAATACAAGATTTACAAAGCTTAAAGCTGGGAAATACACATTATGATCCTAGATCATTATACAAAAAGACAGACTACTTAGTGATTTAAATTGCAGTGACTGACATTTCAGCCCTTCACTTAATTGTGCTGACTGCCGTCAGCTCTGGGTTTTTTCGTGAGTTTCTGTACTGGAGAAAATGACGTGTAAATAAAAAATACTTCTCTCAGTGAAAACTTCTCAAATATTTTGAATGTTCTATCAATCTGTTAACACATTTCTTTCCACAAAATATTCCTTTCAGTTTGTTTTAGTCATTATTTCAGGCATTTACATTTATCCCAATAAATTCACTTTAAGATCCCTATCCCTGAATAAATACGCATTCACTTTCACATTTATTTTGAATCATGGCAACACTTGTCAAAATTTATTTGGCATACAAACTTAGAAGCAGTGTTGGAGATGACTTTTTATTATGAGAGAAATCTCACAACTTAGGAAAACTCTTGAAATACCGGCCCATGTGACTGGTCTACTGTTGTCTGTGTCCCATTTGAGCTCCTGTAAGCATGTTTCCAAGTCCCAGTCCTTGACATGGAACTACAAATGAGAAGTTCCCTTGTTCTTGTAAGTGATGTACAAGTGCTGGGCGAACGGTGTCTTGGGAGTGGACATGAGGACGATCTGCTCCAAGATACCTCCTGGCTTCAAACAGAAAGCCCTTCTGAGCTGCAACAAGATTTAGTGATGAATAAAGATTAGGCAAGACTGCTACAGCAATCTACACAGCCACAGGGCCACTCAATTTTAATTAGTTCAACCAAATCCTCTTGGGTGCTTTGGTGAGACCTAACCAGACGCATCACTTGGGCATCATATGTTAAAGTTAATTGATTGCTCTGTGCTCCAAGATGCCAACAGGCCTATGAGCTCAAAGGCCTAACAGCCTGGATATCCAAGGTTGCTATCCACCTAAGGCAAGGTTTGCAATATCTGACACCCCTTGGACCCATCTGATGCCGTATTTCCACAGCACCTAGTATTTGGGAAGGAACGGCAAAAACTTGTTCATCAGTATTAAAGATATGTGTAAAAATGTGGGCTAGTAAATTCGGAACGAGCAAAAACTGTCACAATCTTTTTTTTATCTGTCCCCATGAAAGGTGGAGAGGTAGCTAGATCCATCAGTGGGCACCATTCAGGGAGTCAAGCCACCTCCCATTGTTTACACAAGGGCAATTTCTTTTTGCTGATGCTGTCTGCCCAATTCAGTATGGTCCAACAGACTTTGTACACCAGTTGCCCTTGCAGCTTTTGGCAGGGTTGTGTGTCAGGTCTTGTACTCACTCCAGTTGTGCTTGGCGTATTAGGAAGGCTCATGGATAGCAGCAAATCGTCCTTAAACTCAATTGAGGTCCCTTTCAACTCGCCCTCCTCAATCTCCACAAAACCTGTAAATGGACAGGGGAGTTTTCATTTCACTTCATTTTATGTGGGAGGAGAATGAAGGGGAAGTTTGAAATGGGGGGGAGGGCACTTGCCAACCTCATCCCCTGGTTACTTTCTTTTCACCTTCATTCCTACAGCAAGTAAGTAACCCCTGGCTTACAACGTTTTCCCTGCACCCATATTGGATAGAGCAATGAGCATAAGCACTCGCCAAGATCCTGGGCACACATGTAGGCAACTTTCTTGGTGGCTGGGTCCATTCTGATGAAGCCGCACTCAACATGCTTCGCGATGCCTCCCAACCAGGACTCCGAGCTGAATGAAAATAACAAAATAAGTCTAACAAGGCTCTGTGCAACGGCATAATGCCCTTGCGTACCACGTGAACCATCAGAATTCTGGTGACCACGCCCACAAAAGAGATGCTCAAAAACAAGCTGAATTCAGCAGTAGAAGACATGTCTAAAACTTTTATATGTTTTATTCCGGTGGCACTTTCATTGGGAGAGGTGGACCCACACACTGGGGGAGGTTTCAGATTTAAGTTTTATAGGAATCATGCATGACTATGATATCCAATCAACCACTAGTAATCTCCCCTAATGACACAACAGTCTCTCAACTCACTAGAAATTAAGTACTGGCTGCCCTAGGTGGGTGATTTTCAAGGTGGTTGTGTAGTCAAAGGAGGCAGATGTGGGATACATTCCTTTGGCTTGGATGGACTCCCATTCGCCAAGAAGCCAGGCCAAGGGTCGAAGTCCTTCATGCAGACGAGCCATTGTCAGGAATGATAGATGTTGGCTGGGAGTTGAGAGGGGCAAAGTGTGAGACTTTCATGGTGAAGTGTTTTTACCCGACCCGCATGCTCTGTCTAGCTACCAGTGCTACCGTGACAAAGTAATTCTATGTGTTTTGTCTTTCACTTTTGCTTGACGCGATTACGGAGAAAAGATCTCCCCCCCGGTCGCTAGTCACGATTGTATAAACAATTGTCTTTGCTAGGGGAAGATCTAGTACAAGTTCGGTTTCTTGTTTGACCTCTGAGTCCACATACTATTAAAATATACTACATGGACCAGTAAAGTGTTCTCCCAATGTGTTTTCACCTACTTGTAGTATGGAATAAAACTTGAAATCCCCGTACCCTGGCGTTTCTGTTGCACAAGCGCGTTCCGACCCGCTGCAGCCTAGGCCAAGTTCACAGCCACTCAAGCGAGCGAACATATGACCGCTCCAGTGATATTGGGCATAATTGCTGCAATGGGTTTACCTCATTAATAACTTCCTGGACTGAAAAAAATTCAAGATGACAGAAAAACCGAACAGTTGTTCCAGTCCCAGCGTCCTTCACCACTGACTGACCTCGGAAACTAGCTACGGCAATAAACACCTGCAGGCTGCAGCTGTACCCGAAAGTGGAACTTTGGCAAGTCTCTGAACTTTCTAAGCCTTCAGAAAGAAATAGCGCCCTCTATAAGGGTTTGCTGTACAAAATTTATCGCGTGAATTCTGTTTGCAGACTGCGCGTGCGAAACCTGTCACCATCGACTTGGCCAAAAAGTTTATTGGTTTAAATTTCGTTCAACAGTAGGCGTTATTAAAACCACAGGGCAATGAAATGGACCGTTTAAGGTGTTTTGTTTTTGTTTTATTCTAATTTTTGTTTACATGTGCATCGCACCTGATACCATTACAATAAAGAGGAGACAACCAATTTGATGTTATTATTATTCATTTCCGGTAATGAATCCAAGGATTCCTCAAAAGTGCCCTAGGCACTGTAGAATGAAGAAACCTGTAAAGACCGAGGAGAAAATGAGAAGCAGTTACAGTTTAAGAGGTGGAAGGAAAACCCCAAAGGAATATTCTGGGTAAAACCCACGGAATCAGGTAGGGACCGAAAACCCAATCCACATGTGGACCAACCCGGGAATCTAAGATGCAAGGCGAGGAAAAAAACAACCCACTACGCCAACCTGACTTCCCATAAATAGAAATAACATTTTGTTAGAAAGGTTTAAGTACATGTACATGAATTATAGTTTATATCGCCCATAAAATACTTGTTCAAAACATTTTTTCATGCAAAACACGTCTTTTCAGAGTTACTTGAACTTCAGAAATTTTCCAACATATAATCATTCTGCTACTTTGGAATACCATTTTAATGCCACAAATCAAGAAGTGTCAAATAATGTTATTTCAGTTCTCTACTCAAATGCAATATTTTTCTCCACTTTTTGATGAGTAAAAGGGGCATAATGGCAACCTGATCAGAGAGCCAATGCATTATGTTGCTATCAATCTGTTTACATGCAGTGCCTGGGTATATTGTTAAATTCCAAATTCATAAGGTTATAATTGTATTTCTGGTTACAGAACAACAGTTTGACACAAAACAGACTTCTACACAAACACACGCTCACACCAACTAGATTCTTGAAGAAGAGCGGTTTTACAGACTTGAGACATTGACTTCTACCTAGAACTACAGCAAATAATTTATTATGTGGTACCCACTTTCTTCGGATAAAATTGTTTTTCCTTCGACTGAAAAAGAGAAATCAACTAAAATAAGTTTTTATTCAGGATCCTATTGGAAATAGAAGCCACAATTGGTCCATGCTGGTCAGAGTCCCTGAAGATTGCTGTAGTGCCCCTCTCATGTGGAAAAAGATGCCAGATTAGTTTTCCAATGCACAAGTCAGCAGGAATACAACAAAGGACAGGACAGAATAAAATTTCTTTTATTGTCTGAGTTGTGAATACAAAAGTTTTTATCATGTATACCTGGCTTCTTAGACTTCTTACACTCTCATACTTTCACTGTACGTCAGCTGTACATAATTTGTGCATTTTTGAGATTGAAAGCAAAGAACTTTTGAGGCAAGTAACTTGTGCATATATTTATTGGGCTCGAGCATGCTGATTGAGGGCACCACACACTTTGGCAGATTACTGGTTCTCACATGTAACTGTGCGTCTCATCATTCATGACAAGATGGGTACCAGTGTACATGTATATTGAGATCCAAGACATGAATAATGGACAAATTCCATGCATCCTCCATTCAATTTCAGCATTGCGGCCAGTTACCAAGTCGTTCCTTCCCTCAAGGCCACCTTAGGTATCCTTCTTCTTGTACGTGACATGCAAATGCTTGGAAAATGGCGTCTTTGGAGTGGTCATGAAGACGATCTGCTCCAAGTGGCCGTCTGACTTCAGACGGAATGTCCTTTTGAGCTGCAATCGGGAAATCAAAGATGCATTAAACAAAATCAACCACAGACAAATGAGCACATTTACTCTGATTTGATCATAAAAAAGCCTCACTCGACAAATTTGGATTCCCAGATTTTTACAAATCTTCTATAAACAAAGAGCTATCATGAAGGCAGTGTTTTGATAGGACCAAGGTGACTTACACCTGTTGCGCCTTCTTCCTTGGCAAAAGTCATTCTCAGCAGCGAAGGCTCGGTTAACTCAACAGAAGTTCCATCAAGCTCTCCTTCTTCAATCTCCACAATGCCTAAAAACAGCCAACAGAAATAGTTACTCAGTCTTTGGTCTGAGGGGGGGAGGGGCTAATGAGGAATGTTTGGAGGTGGTGGGGCACCTACCAGCATTCTGGGCACACATGTAGGCTACCCTTGTTGTGCCTGGGTTCATCCTTAAAAAACCACTCTCGATGTGCTTTGGGACACCTTCCATCCAAGTTTCTGAGCTGAAAACAAAGGTCACGTGATTCAAAGTTAATAATAATAACCAAGGCTTTGTCCCTTAAACTCTTGGTAATACCCCCTTCCAAATTGCCACACCCACAAATGAGATAATCAAAAAGGGGAGAGAGCGTCACTGTCAATTCAACTTGTAAAATGGAACCTTCCAAGTTCCAGCCCCTTGTATGTCTTCCACAATGCACAAGGTGAAGCTAATTACAGCAACTAATCATCTGAAACCTATGCCAACATAATGATTAAACTTCTATTTTAAAACTCTGTAGACACATTAAGCAGCACCCATTGCAGTCTTTTATACCATTCCCCCATACCATACTCATCCAGTCTCTAAACTCACTAGAAATTCAGTACTGGCTGTCCTAGGTGGGTGATGTTGAGGGTTTCTGTATAGTTGAAGGAGGAAGATGTTGGAAACATTCCTTTGGCTTCAATGGACTCCCACTGGCCAAGAAGCCATGCCAAAGGTTGTGCTCCTTCATGCAGTTTAGCCATGTCAGCTGGGGGGAGTAGATATGAAAGCAGGGGCGAAAGTTGAACAAAATGGTGTTTAGGTCTCCCCTCCCCACGAAGGGTGGACACGCCCACGAAAATCCATAATATTTATGATAACAACAAATACGACAAACCACAGAACAGTATCCATTGGCAATGCAGTGGGGCAGGGTAAACTCAACTTGCCCCTTCCATTAATCTGGAAGCAATTACAAAATAGGCCTATATTTATGACTTTCCAGAAGACTGGAAATTAGGTAGTCCACAATAAGCCAACATGAATACATTATGAAGAATATTACCCAGTCCGGGCGGTGGCTTAAACCGCTTTTGTTCTCACCAAACTCCCGAGTAAACGACCTAGCGCCCTCTGTAGTCAAGCGCTTGGTACCTCTCCAGCTACAGACTCCCAGATAATTGTGGAAACAGTCTCGTATTGCAGCCTACATGTACATGTATGTGGCGCATAATCAGAATTCTCACAAGAGAGCCCATTTTATGTCCACTTCTTGTTCATCCATGGATCTGTACTTTCTGGATCATCAGCGATATAGGTCTGGCAAAAGTTCACATTTAATGCAAACTATGGAACACAGAGCACCCCCGCCGCGCCTTGTGTCATTGTTATACTGGTATCTCAGGAATTCTTTTCTGACATCTAGGGGGGATGATTAAGTAACAATAGGCTAGAGTGTGTATAGGAACTAATATCTTTGATAGGGTTGGACTTGCTGGGAGGGGGGGGTTACCCTATGCCCCATTTCGTGCACGCGTGCCGGGTGTAAAACTTCACGCTTCACAACTGAACTGAACAGGTCGAAAGAGGGCGCTCTTTAACTGACCACGAAGGAGCAACAGAGCACTTTGTACCAGGCCCTGTACGTTAGACACGAGTAGTTTCGCACATAAAGCAATTAAATAAATAAATAAATTTTAAAAAGAGGTACTTTGGATTTTTATCTTTGGAAAAAAGTACTCTGAAGATTTTACCCCTAAATTAAAAAAAAAATAGTTTTGAGGGGCTACTTTTCGATTTTAAGAAAAGAGGAAAGATAATAAAAGACGTTCACCTTTTTTTGGAAATCCGCACGGTCCGTGTTCGACTGCGTTTTGAAAACCCTTGGTAGCGATCCTTACATATTAATATGGATGTACGGTTATACGTTAATCTTGCCTTAAGTTATCTTTTAAAGGGAAGTGAAGATTAATGCAAATGATTTGTTGAAAACTGTTCGTCTTGTTTGGCAAGTAGAGAACTGAAATTGTGCTGCTGTGACGTTATTCCAGCAAAACGGCCATTTCACTTTGTACTTACGGCAGCGTTATAGTTTGCTTTCATGGCTCGTTTCATTATTGAGTTAATTAATTCGAAAACGCAAAAAGGCGTCGCAAGTGGGAGTTAAACAGAAACCCACAAGAATTTCTGCACTCTATAGGGAATCAACAGCTCAGTATAAAAAAAAAATCAATCTGAGAAACTCTGTATTTAACAACTAGTCTTTTCACAAATTAATTACATATTTCTCATAAGTTTACTTCTGGTGATACAATGCTATGGGGTTTTATTTTAGATAGAATTTTCTTTAGAATTTTGCCTGATTGTAGATAAAGAAACCACACGTATACTGAGCACGGATTTTGCAACATCAGTATTGCGCAATTTCGCGAAAACGTTCTCTCCTCTGGAAATTCCCGAGAGGAGAAACGGCCGAGGGGATGGGAGTTCACCAGGTGGTCATAACCTTATTAGGAAAGATTAGTAAATTGTAATACATTGTATTTCACACATGACCGTAAAGTAGTTCCGGGATTTTATTTGTCGCCGGAGTTAGTCTCAGCAGGAAAACACCGCCCCCCAAAAAAGGCTAAATTCAAACGTTAAATTCATTTTGAAACCAGCAAGGTTGGGTCCTGGGATGGGCTTAAACTTTTATATCGATTCTTAAAGGAAATATACTGACCAATTTCAAAATGAAATAACCACTGACCCTGTATAAAGACCCAAACGGGTCCAAATTACAAAATCTGAGCGAAAACACTTTTGTTATACCAAATTTGCATATGAATTAGTCTGCTCTTTGAAACCTCGAGTGCTCTGGATTTCTCATCGGTAGTTTCGTAACCCTCGAATTCCCCGTTTGAGCTATTCTTAGCAAATAGTGTCATGACAGACGTACACCTTCTAGAATGATCGCTCGTTGGGAGGGGCGGGAGCGGAAAAAGTAGTTCCGTTGCTGTCTAGTTTCGCAACTACCCTAAAAAGATGGACTTTCCACTGCCTATTTTTAAAAGAGACTTACCAACGGCCGGGAATCCCAAAATTTCACGAAGATATGTCTCATCTCTGAGAGATTTCGCAATCATCCGTTTCTTAGTAACTGTCTTGCTTCCTTGCCTCATCCCACCATTAATTAATGGTACTTCGATTTCAACTCTGAGAACGCGAACAACACAGAGGCCATGCACAAGTTGATCTGTGCGTGCCCAACAGCCGCGTTTTCGAATTAAAATCACCACGAAGAATACATTCTAACCGTAACTTTCCTTATTATACAGTGCTAGTGAGGTCCACCAAAATTATACACAGCGGCAGTCCTTACTACATTATATCAATGCAACATTTTGCTCTATCGAACAAGAAAACAGTCTTCCAGATACACAGATACATGTAGCTTATCAAAATGGCGGCACCAGTCCTGCACCCACTTTATACACGACTCAACGATGGTCAATAGGTTTACATATTATCATTCGCCTCCACCACTGTACCATTACGTGTCATGTTATTAGTGCATTCTTGCTTTATATTTGTAAAGTGAACCTTGAACTTGCACTTCGATTCATCCTATCTTGTAAATTAATTTATAAAATATTGTTGATGTGATTTGTAAAATTTACCTTCAAATCAACACTCTTGCTTCATTAAGTAAAAGTAGGAATTCTGCTGTAAAACGAGCTACAAGTATTAATCTTTTAAAGTGAGAACTCGCAGTTTCATGCCATTGATTCATATTCAAATTATGAATGGGAAAAAATGAACACCATAAGAAAAAACATAACAAATTCGTTAAGCAATGTAATCTCCCGCATGCGCGTCGTGGTTGCTTAATACCGCGGCGACCGGCCGACCTGCAACGTCATCACTACCGTACCGAAAGGCAACGCCTGCTCGGAGCCCTAATGCCGTCATGATTTTTGATTTTCCCCCGATTGAATTCAGTACAAACTTTATCAAATATGTCGCCACGCACCATAGCTGATTGCTGGTAATGTTGCACATCAGTACTTATGTTGCTGGTTTCTGGGCTCCACCGTGACCCACCACAGCACCGTCTAAGCGAACAAAGGGATTCAAGCGTGGGTCACTGTTAGCTGCCTATTACGTGGGAGATCAAGTTCACTGTGAAAACTGACGGGATGGTTTCCGCAGCCATGGACAAATTGAAAAATGCTCGTCTCTTCGATTTGAAACTGAATCCTGCAGTATGCTGAGGATTTTTGTCAAGGTATGAACAGAATGTGGTATCGTTAAAGAGCTACATCGCAAGGACATTTCAACGCATCACACCGCTTTGTTCTGTGCAGCCGGGCCGCATCGACGGGACCATTTTTTTGTGGTTTCCCCCGCAGCTCGAAGTGACGGTTCCGCTTGCTTCACAGCTTCCGGGTATTACCGACGTTTCATCAAAACACTGTCGTGCAATATTGATCACTCAATGGCGTCAGACACAACAGACATTAGCCGGGAATCTGCTGAACTTTTGGACATCAAATGGCAGGACAAGACCAGCAAGAAGCACCCGTATTCTTGTGGTTTTTCCGGCAGTCGTCTGCGCCTCGTCGAGTTCTCTGAGAAACACGACTACTGCTCCATTCAATTTCAAACAGGTAACACTGATATGAACGTCAAATTTAAAGTGGCATACAGTCGTACGTAAACAAAATATGTAGCGTAAATCTAGTCAGAGATGTAGCCTACGATTCGACCGGTTGTTCAATCGATGTTAAATTCATTTAAAATTTGGATCTGATTTGGATAGCTTTACCGCGGACGTTAGAACTATTCCGTTTAATGTATTATTAATCGAAGTAATAATTTAACAACTATCACGGAGGAACACATCACAAGTTTTCTCTTGAACATATTGTCACTTATCGTCTAATTATTCACCATTCTTTTTGAAATCTCACGCAGTCTCTCATTCCTCCGTTTTCTGTTTTCTTGGATTGTCTGTTTTGCAGAATCTTTGAAGCCCGTGTGGATTGGAAGTCAGTTACAGAGACCGTCACATGCTGTTTTAACTGGAAGTATCCTCCAGTATCACCAAATGGCCGACACTAAAACCCAGTGACAATCTCTTAAAACAACAACTAAGTAAACTTTTCAAAGCAGCCCAAAGGAAACCTTTTGCTCCCTCTCAACTTAATTGTCGCTTTTGTCCACATTTTTGCTTGAAACGTTGGATCAAAATATGTAGGAGAAACTCTTCACTCTCTGATCAGTTTGCATGCCCTAAGTTGAAGGAGTAGCAAAGGTCACTAGAAATTATCCAGTTTGAAGATGATGGATTTTTTCTCTGATATCTCAGTTCTGAACAGAAAAAAGAGAAAGAAACCAGAGTGGGGTCTTTTCTGTCGGTTTCACTGGACACGCGCAGGACACGCGCCAATGTCTGGCCAGCTGTTACCGCAGTTAATCCCCCATAGCCTTTGCCTTGGAGACTGCACCGTTCACCCTTCTGATAGTATTGTATGTATTCTGGACGAAGTAACCTCGCATAAATCATGCAGTTAATTAGCCATTAGACTCCCCGGGCCATGCATAGTACAGACGATATGATTGATCATCTGCTGCGGCCATTTGTTCACAGCTGATATATCAGAGAATTCCAGTGTGAACTTGGCCATTATTTTGGAGTGGGCGAAGATATATTTTTTGTAGGAAACGCTTTCGTTGGACTCTGGTTCCGTTGTGAATACTTGGCCAGGTCGCATTTGATTTTCAACAAGTTCATTTTTTTCTAAATGACCTACTTGAATATTATGACAAGCTTGAAATTTAAAGCAGATTTAAAGCAGACTCATGGATCATTACACTGGCAACGCGTGGGGACTTATTGGTAAGGTTGGCATGCTGTGATGGTAAGGGCTGTGATTTTCTGGGCCTGTCTATGGTTGTTAGGCATTTAGAGCAAAACATTGTATTTTCTTTAAGGTGAATTTCTGTTTGCAACCCTTGTTCTTTGGCACCTGCTTCCAAGACGCATCTAACAGTTTGAGTTGATGGACCTTCTTGCTTCTTATGGACGAGCGCTTGCTGTGCGGCAGTTGTGCACTAAGCGAATAGCATGTAGGTTGTACTTATTGGAGTAACCCTAGATATCGTAGAACAAACAATTTTATTGAGCATGCTCTGTGTTTCCCGGTTTACAAAATGGAGAATGGAAATGTTGCGGTTTTGGACATATTTCGGGAAAGTTTTTCCCCCAAAACTGCTATTTTCACAACCAAGAAGCACAGAATGTGGTAATGTATTTATTATTATATATTTGATATTTTGATAATCAGCATACGAGATCGAGAAGCCATTGTTAAATATGTATTTTAGAGGTTAAAATATTGTAGGACCGTCTAACCTTCACTCCAAATTGGACGATCCTTTCATGTGGCTGCACTGTTCACTGGTAGTTTAAATAAGGTCATGTGTAGTGCATACTTTAAAAATCCATGCAACCACACATAATGATATATCAAACTCAGTCAGCCTATATTCTACATTCTTAAGTTATACTCAGTTGCTATTTGGTTGGCAAAAATGCTCTGAAATGTTAATATGCATCATTAACAGACAAGATTTCTGACCATGCAAATGCAATCATAAAATGTGACTTGTTTGGCAGAGCCTGTCTTGATCAACAAAAAACTTCAGCTTTTTAAGTCCTCAAATTGACATGTCCTGGAAAGTATCAGCTGCATTGATTTATTATATCCAATTAAAATCCCCAAATACTTTGTACATGTTTAAACTATGCCATCTTTCTTGATACTTGTAGTCTTTGAGGTATTGAGTTTGGGCAAATATTAATGGTAAAAACATGCATGCATCTCACCAGCAACCAGAGACTTTGTTGCTATTTTTAGAGCATTCACATGTTTTATTCATCTGTGCATGTGCCAAATGAAAGAACACTGCAGCATGACATGCATGATATTCCTCCTGTATTCTGTAGGTCTTTTATTGAATACATAACACTGTTTTTACTGTTTGTCGTGTTTTTACATGATGTAGATCAAGAGATGGATATTGAGAGAACATAATTTGTTGAATAAAATACTGTTGCATTTTAATTCATGTGAACCATGTCCAGTTTCATGTTATTGTGAACATGTGTATTAAAACTCAGTTGCTGTATGAGTAGTTCTCATTTGGCTAGAGACTCTGCCATTGCCAGTCAAAACAATGTTCAACATTAGTCAAAGTTATGCTTCCCTGCACAGTTGTTACATAAACCAAAAGGCCAACCAATTCCAAGGCCAAATGGCCATTAGTCCAAGTCTGGCAACCAACAGTTTCTCATGGGATGAGCTTGCATTTTTCTCCAGAGGACAGTCTCTTTGGCTGTTGTTGATTCCCTAGTCATGCTGGCACAACCAGACTTTTACTCCTGCACTGTGCTGCATCTGGCAGGGTCATGGATCAGCATACCTTTTGCTGTGGTGCAAAAATTCTTTTTGGTGTATTTTCAAAACTTTTTAGAATCAAGAGAACAATCAAAGAAAACTTGTACAGTTCAGCACTTGCATATTGTTAATAGAGTAATCAATACTGATGTGTACTTCATTATTTTTCTCCATCATATATAATCAATATTACAGACAAATTACTGCCCTATCCCGTCCTGACCGGTTTAGTTTTTCTTCGGCCCAGACTTTGAGATTACAACATCCCCCCCTCTTCAAAATAACAAGATGAACAAAATAATTAATGCAGTCAAAAGACTTAAAAACATTTGCACCTTTAATTTGGATAATTTCATCTGGCATAAAGACTGATTCCCAAACATCAACATATTTTGGGCTCTGTGGAATTCTTGGGAATGACAGTACAACATGTAGAATACATGATGAGAATGATAAATTTGATATACTTTAGAAAGCAGAGGAGGTTGGAATATTGTTTTTGACAAAACCTTCACACCATACGATGTTCCATTTTACTCAGTGTATTACATTGCTCATGTAGTACACAAGGCCCTGCAGAGCCCAAATGTTGTGCATGCAGTATGCAATATTGGCTCATGCACTTCATGTACTAGGTTCAAGGGTCAGCAAGCATTGTTCATGGTACAGTTCATGGGAATGTGTTTTGTTAACAGATGCTGGGTCATTCAAGTTCAACATATAGTGTGTGTGTGTGTGTGTGTGCGCATACAGTGTGAACCATGTACATGTACATGACCAATGCATATTACATGTATCATAACTTCCTGGATGATACAGATGGCAGCACCTAGTGATGCTATTTTTTTTTACATGCTTTAATAGCAAAGAATTCCTTTTTAATGGCCATGTAGTATCCTCAAAAGTGTATTTGTTTTCTGATTGTCTAGATAGCTGCTTAATATAAGTACACTCTCTTTGTCTCTAAATAACGGCAATGAAGATAGTCCTGGGCATTGAGATTTTGATATAATTTTTGGAACTATTATGGCAAAATACCTTTTTTCTTTGAGTGTTATTTTTTTATTATATTATTCTGGGGAGAGGTTTCACTGGAAACTCTCTTTGGAAAAATTGGGAAAGCCATATAAATATTTCCCCCACAGTTCTTTTTCAAACAGGTGATGTGTTCATACACAGAATTATCGCTCATTCTGTCATCTAAAAACAAAACATTTTTTAACATGTGGAAATTGTAACTTACTCTAGCCATGCTTTATCCAACAGTATTTCATGAAAGTAATTCTTGTAGTGGATAAAGGGGGTTATACATTTAAAACAGGAAAATTTCAGGAAAAAAATCCATACAGGCAGACAAACAAACAGGCTACATGTATATCCGGTAAAATGTTTTGACATGAAGAAAACCGTGAAGCTGAAAATGCTCATAAGATGTTAAGTTTAAAATATTTGCCACATTTTTAATTTTTTTATACAGTCTGTGCTAACGGACTGGACCCAACCAACCATGGTGGAAGAATACCAACCCCATCAGGCTTGGTAGTTGAGCAGTTGAATTATCGTTGCTCATGGTTTGAATTATGAATCTGTCTCAAGTTAATTTTTCAATTTTTATTCACAATGCTTGAGAAACACTAGCTACTCGCGCAGTTCTTGTAAAATGTTTGTGATTATTTTTTACCCTTCTCCTCTTTTAGCAAATTTCCTGATGACATATCCATCTAAACATCTGTTACCTTGGAACTGATCTTTTTATTTCTTGTGCAGTGTGTAGACAAAGCCTAGCATAAAATTATTAATTTTCCATGGCTTACGATGTGATAAGTAAAATTGAAACCAAACAATTTTACATGTACATGTACACTGTACGTGCTTAGCTGATACATGAACCGCTTCACAGTTATTGATGTACATTTTACGGTGTACATTGTGTGTGGAACGACAATACTAGGCTGGTGATCTATGATCCCTGTTGCATGGCAACAGTGCTCATTAGCATGTAGGAGTTTCAAAAAGCTTGGCTACATCATACTTTTGGCTTCAGGGAATATTAGGCCCATTACTCAGGAGCTCTGACCAAATACACATTAGATCTTCTTCAGTCTCGGGTACAGAAAAGTACTTTAATGTTAGGCTAACCCCCAGTGTTTTTTCCAATGGTTTGGATGTGGAATGCTTTTAAACACATGCAGATTTTCAGCAAGGGATGAAACCTTTAGAAAGCCAAACTTTGGATAATGGCATCTGCAGTTCTATTGAATTTTTAAGGGTCAAGACCCTGGCCACCCTTTCACAAGGATCTATGCATATCATTAGGTTGATTCTATCAAACATATTGTTATTGCACAGTGTAGGCCTACATGTGGCTGTGTGGTCTATAGACTGACAATACAGTTGTGTCTGCCTGTATGCCATCGAACCTTGGCCATACATAAATTTTGCTAGTGTAAATACGTGCACACAACCCAAAAGCAGCACTATACACGCCAAATATACACTGCACAATCATCATCGACAAATTACAAACTGATGGCTGCATATTTTTAAGAAAACAGCCAGGCATAAGCGTTTCATGAGACAGAGTATTCTAGTGAATGTACATTTCTTAACTTCCTTTTTATTTGAAAATGATCAGCAAGAACTGGAAAAATATTTAGTCATTTTCATGATTATCACGTCTGTTGTGGCATGCATGTACATACATGTAGAACAGAGAGAAAATAACATAACTCAATTACAAATGTATGCTTTGCTCCATTGACCTTTATTTTCATTGCGCGCTTATGGGAAATTAAGTTTGTATTAAAAAGCCCAATCTCTTGGCTAGGATTGACTCTAAAGGGAGGGGTGATGGAGGTCTATCAGTGGTAGGTTTGGATTCAGCATATTTTATCTAGGCTCATTACCATTATTTTTATTCACATACAATATACTGCATTCCTAAATCGTCTAAAAGTGGCTTCTACAAGAACCCCAATTGGGTACCCAAATGGGTACAATTATGTGAAATGAATGCATCCACGTGTGTGGCAAATAATGCCCCTTTTTCATGGTACTCATTTCTTCAGACATTTCTGGTTCAAGATACTGTTCTTTTTGTATTAATTTAGGTTTTTTCTGGAGAAGGGAATGCATTTGTTTTTCATTTGTGTGCACTACAGAAGAATGTTCAATGCTCCATTTGCTCTATTTCCTGGTCATTTTGTTGAGCACTGTGGAAATTGAGATTATTGGATGGGTTATACAGTGTACTATGGAAGGCAGTCACAAACATCAGAGGATTACATACATGGACATGTTAATTGCCATAGCATTAGGGTCAGTGGGATGTGGGGGGACAGGGCAGCTGTCCCCACCCTCCCCAGTGGACGGGTCACTCTTTTCTGAAGGAATCATAAGCATCAATGTGTTGGAAACATTTCTTCCACCTTTCTTCAGGGGATGAGAAATTTTACATAAATGCTTAAATATCAACCGCTGCTCTTACAAAAAATTCCATTTTGCCCCGTGAACCAAAGTTTTCGATATTCTGCTGATCAAGATTTTTGGGGATCGTAGGTTTCAGGTTGAAACACTGTGTCTTTCAGTACGACAAATTCTGGTGCTTGAGACACAGATTCCAATTTATCGGGTTCATGGATTGTAATCCTTTAAAGGAATGAATGGAAATTCATTTTGGCTTGAGAAAGACACTGTCAGGATCAAAATGTAAGATGCTGCAATTTTTAAGCTTTGCATTTCTGGCCACATTAATAACAAGTGAGTTTGCAGATTTCCTGTTTTCTTATTCCTTTCAATATTTAAAATTATGAATCATGGAAAAGGGGATTTTATCAAACACTCACCCTGTGCTGAATTTTAACAGATGTAATTAGTTTCTTAATTCTGTTTGTTTTTGTTAAGTTGTCTTTTTTAATCTACATTTTCACAGACACACACTCAGTGGCATGGCGAAAAAATTTGGGGGGGGGTGTGTGCCAGAGTCAATTTGCTGACTTGTAACCTGTTTGCCAACCTTGTGTCATGTAAAATTAACAAAGTGATCCATTGTACGCTACATTCCTTGCTTTGGGGAAATGCCGATGGCTGTATATCTTTTATGTACTATATTTGGATTCATTTGCAGACTGAAGCTCTATCGTCCGACTGGAATTGATTATTTAGGGGGTGTTGTGATTCCCCACACCCCCCCAGTCACTAGGTTCCTGCACATGCTGCATCCATTGATGACTCGAGTCACATTTTTGGCAACTGGACTTGAGTCGCGATGGATAAGTAACTCTGCACAAATCACTGCGAGCAAATGTCCCAACTCAAGTCCCTCATCAGAAGACCAGACTAGAGTGAAAGTTTGAAGACCTGAGTGCCGAAATAAAAGCAAATATCTTCACCAAAAAATTGGCATTGACTTTTAGTGCAGGCATGTAATATCCATGTCACATGATATTATCATCAGGAGCAAGATGTGGTGTGACCACATGTAGTAACCCAGAGGTTCATTTAAAATGCCACTAAATGACCTCTCTTGGTTTTTATTCATCGCATTGTATTCAAAGTTTTTTGAATCAAATTGACTTGAGCTGAACACCTGACTTGACTTTTTGGCTTAATGACTTGACTTGGTTGGAGCCATAAAAGTAGTGACTCGTTACAACTCTGACCACCTGTACCTCTTAATTTCTAAGGGTTTTTATGTCAATGCAGCATGAAAGACTTGTATGGATCTCTGTAAGTTGAGGACTGTCTGTTTAGGTTTAGTGAAGAAAATGACTTGCAACCCCCCCAAAGAAATCAAGAACGAAAGTAAGTTGCCAATCAACAAAGTCATTTACATGAAATTATCTCAATTGGAAGTACTTTTACTAAGGGTAATCACATCAGTTTTATTTGAATCATAATAGTTGGAGTGCCTGACATTTCTATCCAAGCAGAATCTTTCTCAAAGGCAAATCATAGCTAGGAAGGAGTTTGCATCGGTTTTTGTACTGTATGATATCATGATCGTTGCCAGCATCATAGTCATCATTATCGTTACCTCTGTCATTACACATACCTTCAGTGTCAGTATCACCCTCCTACTTGTTAGTTTTTGTTGAATGTTTTAACCAACGGGTCCATCTTCAGTACAGTCATCTACAGAAATTGTCATTTGGGTTAGATCCAGTTTTAGACGAAGGGGATTGCTGTATACAATTGCTCATGGGGAGGGAGTTATGCAACTCAACTTCAAACAAGATATTCTGAAATTCTCATGAAACCAGTGTCAATATGAAATCAAATTTCTCTGTTTATGTCCCTGGATGAAACTAAACCTCCAAATTTAATATGATCGTTAATTGACAGGTTTGCAACTGTGACAGATCTGTTTTATTGGATTCTCTTATTTTATTCTCTTGTATTGCCTCACATGCCATTCGCATGGCACATTACTTACAAGGCCTCAGATGTGTAGTGATTACTTGATCTGGTTTTTGTTAAATAAAAATGCCATTAAGTCCTAAACAACGTGCCTTCTTATTCTCTGGTTACAGACGTCCAAAGCACATCTGCTTTTCACTCTTACCCCTATGGCAGTAACTCAGCCATTTTATTGGGGGGGGGTGCAGGTTAACATGTGTCATTTGGATCACCTGCAATTGGTGTTGGCAGTAGCCACAGTACAGTCTCGGAATTAACATCAATTGCTTGTTCAATATCTACAGTTTCCTGAGGGAAGGGAAAACCAATTATTATGTGTTAACCTCATGGCCTGTTGAAATTTATTGCTCTGCCTCAATGACAGATGTGGCGGGGACCAACCTAACAAATCATGTTTTCCTGTGATGGGTGGTGAAGGCACCCCCAGAATTTGTGTCCATGTTTTTTCATCACTTAAAGGAATTTGGGCATTTTCGTTATTGTTACAGTGATACCCAAATCATGATTTTACATTTTAGATATAATTTTGGGAACTTAACATTCACTTTTCACTTTTTTTCATAAAAAAGACACTATTGCAGAAGTGTTACGTCGTCTTATACTTTGTCAGAAAAAGAATTCTGACGTGTCTTGTGAAATCTGAACACCCAGGGATGACCCATAACATGAAGAAGCAATATTCTAGATGGCTTGATTGTTGGAATTTAAAATGTGCTATGTCCCAGATTGTATTCCCGAGACGTGTGCCTGAATTTTCCACTCTACCCTGTGGAAAAACAAATCACATTTCCAAAGTCAGGGTTGTGACAAAAGGGAGTGGTGAATGTAATCTCCGTGTATATCTGAAGTCCAGATGTTTTCTACCTGTTTCATTGTCAGCTTGTGGAGGACAAATGTTACATGTTTATAGAGTACCATAATGCTCTCAGGAATGTGGGAGCTGCTGAAGTATCTCACAAGTTTAAATCTGAACTCAGCTATTCCACAAAAGTTTGTTGCATTGGTCCAAAGTTTAAAATATATATTTTCATTTAACGGTACATGTACATATATGAAAAGATAATGCTTAGCCCCCACCTTGGAGAATTAGATTTGGGGGTCTTTGTTGAATCTGTAAACTGTTTATGCACACTTAATACATAGTTCAACAGGTGACACATCAGTAACTACTCCTGTGTTCCACCCATCTATTCCTACATGTACATGTAACTGTCCTGCTGATTTCTATCCTGTACAATCCAGCCAATTCTAACTGAACTTTGCCCACTTAAGTCCAACCCAGTGCAACCTAGTCTAACCCAGTATTTAACCCAGTTCAGCCCACCCCTCCTCCCAACTTAACTGACCCTCTGCACATCACACTTGTTCCTCACCCAATCATACTCAATCCAATCATCCTGACCCTGTTTTCTTTTCTACAATGTTGTGCAAACCTAACTTATCCTAACCAAAGGCAGTGTAGTCCAACCATGCCCAGCCTGTGACAATCCAACTTAACCCCAACCCAGTCCAGCCCAGCCTAAACAAACTCTGCCCATCCAACCCAACTCAGCTTAGTCCACTCCAACCTAGCATGACCCAACCCAGTGAAACCCACTTCGCTCTACACCACCCACTCCACCCTCCAACATACATGCATATATGCATGTATTAACCACCCCCTGGCCTCAACCTACCACCCAGCCTCGTACCCACCCTCCCCACTCAGCCCATCCAACCCATCCTAATCCAATTAGACTACTCCAACCCTCCTTCCCAACTTAACCAAACCTCCACCCTTATCCTCATTATACTCTACCCACCCAGTAGGACGGGCGTGCTTGATAACAGAAAACAGGAGTCAGGCTCCTTGTCCCCATTTCTTTACATTGAAAACCCTTTTCCGTGTATATGACTGAAGAGATTTAATAAATCTGTCATGAAGAATCATCTCTCCAACTGCGATTATACTTGTGGTGGGGTGAGCTTCCTTGAACTGCGACAGTGTGTTTACTAATTTATTTATTTTTGATCTTGTCCTGTTTGTTCTTTTTACTCTGATCAAACCCCCACAACGATAATAAAAAGATAGTATGGAGTCGGTACCTAAAGATTTTGGGGCTACACATACAAACATCAGTCTTGAATCTGCTTAAGTGTACTTTGTATGACAAAAGTGGGGGGTTTTGGTCCAAATGATATACACAAAACACATTAAAAATTCGCAATGAGGGACATTTTACGAGAATCACACATGTATCTATTGTTATTGATTAAAGGGGCAGTAGTATTGGAAATATTGGATAGTACAAGTATGTTGGTTTGAAAATATGTATGGTTATTATAACAATGTATGTACCATTTTCTTTTCATGAGCACATAATACTTTTCTAAAGTCTCATGAAGTATTAAAGTGTAATAAAACGTAGCTAGTAGTCCATGCCATGACGTGCTAATTAATATATTCGACAGAGATGTAACATAAGGCACTAGTTTCGGTATTCAAGTACTGAAAACCTCATACATGTATTAATGCAAATTAAAAGAACTTAGATTCAAGCATAGACCATTTACACTTTGCCTACAGTTACATCTAACGCGGCCAAAAATTGCAGAAAAGTCACCCTTTGGTTGGTTTTTAGTTTTACCTCGATTATGCTCCGTTGGGAATGTACATTTGTCCCATTTATTTGAAAGAGGTTTGTGTTTTTTGATATTTACTAATAAGTGTATAAACTAAAATTTAAAAGTAACTACCAATCTAAGATTTAGATTTGTGATACTTTAATGCTTTTACTTTTGTACTGATGGCAAGCCATAATTTTTACAACCACTTTAAAAAAAGAAAGAAAAACAAACACAAAAGCAGATGCTATTAGGTAACTGAGTGTTTCATTGAAGTTGGTTTAAATTTCGATTTTTGTTCGGGAATGCTGGTAGCCAGAATGCTGGCAACCTGAATCATTCAATTTCAACATGATTTTACATGTACCCTTGGGGATTAGGATCAACCCTACCCCCCCACCTCTGTTTACACTTTGGTGAGAAGACTGTCACTTAAACCAGTCCCTGTTAAATTGCAGTAGATATTCAACGGGTTTTAACTTGGAAAATTGAAACTGAGAAACCTCATAACTTCGCAAAAGACCCCTTGGGGACAGTGTACAGTTTCAAACCTGGCTGGGATTAGAAGATATTTTTCAGTAGTTTACACCAAACTCTGAATTTAAGAGGTATAACCATTCAAGTTTTGCTATGTTTTGACCTAACTTAAGTATACAAAAAGAGACCAGTGTAAGATTGTAGGCAGCTGAGGGAGAACTCACGCCTGGTTCAGCTTTTTATTGTTCTTGTTACAACCTCTTTACTGGCTGTTTTCCAGATAACTTTTTCTAATCCCTAATCTCATCCAGGTTTAAAATGGAAATACCTTTATTGGTTCAAGATACATCTCAGAGATTTAAAATTGCCAGTTGCATAAGTCACAACAAGTCACGAAAGCTGTTGCAAGGATCACACTGAACTGTTTGAAAGCACTCATTTCAAGACAACTACAGACTTCTAGCTAATAAATCAAGGCATTCTTCAAGGTGAACAAAATTAGGTCATAGACTCCATAATACATTATCAAAGGTCGATTATGAAGGTAAAGTATTCTCTTTGATTTGCTTTTAATAGTGTGACATGATGCTGGGACAGGCTGAGGGAACTTGGTGGTGGTGGTGGTGGGTGGAGGTTACTGAAGTGAAGACAGTAGAAGACATCCAGGTGGAAGTGGAGATGTTGCTTTCTGGAGAGCAAAGGATGTGGTGCTCCATTGTCTGGTAGTTTGCATGCATGGGTGGATCCACATTCAAATTTGGGGGGGGGGGGAGTTGAGACCAAGCTTTTGTTACGTTGCCCAAAAAACTGGTAAGTTTTCTGTAGTCTTTTTGGGCCCTTCTATGGGGCGAGGCTATATTTTTATGCTTTGGGTAGGGGCATGGCCGTCATTGACCCCCTCCCCTTGACCTGCCCTTGTTTTCATCCCAGCTGGATGGGCCATGCCGGATCTAAAGGATGACTGAAAAAGAATAAAGGGGGCATGTTTCAACAATGGTGTGAGTACATATAATCTTTTTTTTCCTGGGGTGAGAATGTATTCCACGGTAGCAGTGTGACCCTAACAAGTTGAGCAAAATTCAGTGAATAAGAAAAATGTGTTTATGGCCTTGTAAAAGAACTACAAATAGGCATTGCGCTGGGGAAATATACATGTGCGTCATGGTCACTTGTGGGCGGCTGGTGCTTTACGTATCCCACATGCTCTTACCAAGATAAATACAAACAAACTAACATGAAAAGACCCCTCCCCAATACAATCAACAAATTTGGCCTGGTTATGTTTCATTTTGCAGCCGATCATTGCTGTGGTGCAACTGGGGTACATTTTGCAGGGAGCACTTGGGAGCCCTCATTTTCTGGAGGGAGCACTCATTTTCTGGAGGGAGCACTCACTGGGTTTAGTGGCAGTTAAACACTGACCAGACTGACCGCTGTCACCAGATTCTTTTAATTCCCTTGTTCAATTTTTGAGGGGGGGAACAGGCTTTGAGTGGGGGCTGGTGCCTCCATGCCCTCCCCCCTTTAAGTACGCCCCTTGCCCTTAGATATTTAAATTGACCGTTTATACACCTTGAGGTTCATTGTTGGGAAGAACTATACTGTAGGTTAAAATGAAAAAGTAAGAAAAAGCAACTGTAAGCTTAAACCCCACCCAAAGAGATGGAGATTATTGATGACATGACTTCTTAATGTGGAGTTGGGATATAGTCGATGTTGGACATGGTACAGTTCTAATTCTTTATATTTCAAAGATTCATTACATGTCATAGCTACAGCAAAGTAAACATGACAATAAGGACTCACCACACGACGAGTCGGTGTCTTTGGGACCTGTACATCGAGAAAAAGAGGGAAACGTATAAATCGCATGTACGTACAGACCTAACACCAATGATTTTTAAATTGAAACACATTTTACTTAGCCGCTTAGCTGCCTGTAGTTGTGTTAGTGTATTGTAATTGGTATTACAATATTGGGCCAGGAGGATGTACATGTAACCTTAATTTTTTTTTCGTTCGCCGTAATTTTGCTCAGCGCTGCATGCTTTGTTGGGTATTGTCTTGGTGTGAGCTGGTTACTCTGTGGAATTGCTGCCCACTCAGCCACCGTTCTTGTCGGGTTCAATTTTTTATTTTGCTGTCTCAGATCAGTTAGAGGAATCACAGTCCATAAACACTGATGGAATGTCAGATTACCCAGATATTCATCGTCCGCGAATTTGGAAGTTTTCTTCAAACTGGCATTTGTAGCGGTGGATGCTGCCGATGCCATTTTGACAAAGTTTTCTTTTCACGATTATCATTTTGTTTGTCGGCCGGATAACAGATGCTCTCGTGCACGGAACACAAAACACAAAAGTTTCAGCTCTGTACATAGACAGTGTGGTCCCCCTCAAAAAAGAAAGAAAATACGTAAA